CCAGGCCAGAGCGACATCCAGGTCGAAACTCAAGACGGGAGTTGGTGTTGTCGAAAACGTGGTCCTGCCAGACCAAGATGCTGATCACTCAAGTCTGCCATTGTCATCACAAGGAATGCCGTCGCTATCCGCCTTAGCAGAGCCACCAGCCCTACAGGGTAAAGATTCAATTAGCGGCATAATACCATAAGTGAACCATCTCTTTTGAAATCAAGATTCTCAATCAGCCGGGATTAAGGTACAGAAACTAGTTCACATAGAAAAGGCTGCTAATTGAGTTCAGAACAGATATCTTTAGTTTGCATTATGATGACAAGTAGGAGTACTAGCTAGTAGTGAAGCAGTAATCTTTATAAAATGCAAATATTTTGATAAAATAGGTGGTAGCAGAAATAAACAAACTAAATAGAAAACTTCCATGCTTCCAGGATTACATATCTTGCCAAGATGCCACATGCATAATGTTAGCAATTCTATCGGCAAGGTTATAAACAAAGCCCTGCCTTTCTTTTTGTGACGGGTACACTATGTTCTAACTGTACTTTGTGCCTGAAACAATTTTCCTATTGTTCTGAAATGTGTCCCCTGCATAGATTATAAAGTCATGAAATTCTTCTTGTTATTTCTAACTGTTGGAAAGCCTAATCGTGAATCTTAAAATTTGTAATGCTCTTCAAACTTTAAGATATTACCTCACAGATAACATTACATTGCCTCAGTGAATTGCTATATATCCGCTATAAAGTATACAGAGAAGATATTGGGCAATTAACAGCAGAATTGTGTAGACAGAATCTTATTGCGCAATAATTCAAAGCAGTCATGATAAACCGTAAACCATGAAATCCTCCAGTTTTGGATTATCCAATAGTAGAAAAACTTGGAGAAAACGAATGATTAAACCCCACAGGGGTTTAATAACCTTTTGGCGGAAAGAATGAATTCCGCCAAAAGTGTCTCATCGTTTCCGCCAATTGATTGCTGACCTTGTGGGATTGTTGTTAATTGTTCATCTCATGAAGGGTGGGGTATCAAATCCCTAGAAACCTGGAAAGTCGGGCTTTGCTTCATTATAATATCTTACTAGTAATCATAGTATGTGCCAGCATAGTAGGTGCAAGTATGTGCCACGATGAAGGTGGGATAAATCATGACCACCTCTCCTGTTGACTAGAGTGGCACCCTTCTCTTCAACATACTCGACCAGCATAACAAGCAACTCTCCAGCAATGCGCACATAAAAATATCCCCCCAAAAAAAACTGCTGAGCAGGGGCCCCACCTCCGGTTCCATTTTCATTGAAAACAAAACCAAATAATATACAAATATATGTCCTGCTGTAAGAAAACAAACCACGCCTACCACGAACACCCACATATGAAGAAAATATGAAACAAAATCATGAGAAGAGAAGTTTACCAAGAAGGTACCTCGCTTTTCTATTAAGTGTGTGTTGGCTGATGAAGAATAATGGGGAGAACCAACTCAGTAACCTAGCGGAGGAATAGTCCCGACTTGAAGAACGACGAGATCATGTAAATCCATGTTTTTTCCAGGACATGCAGATTTATGTATAGGTACAGAAAAACGTAGAGAAATGTGTGTTGATGCCTTTGAGTAAAAGATCTTGTCTAAGAAATAATGAAATCTATGAACCATTCTATAAAGTATGAACAAAAGCAATTGTAATGATCAGTCGATAACTATAGCCTTGCACTCTATGACCAAACATATACACATCTTCATCTCACTTATATTGCAGTCTGTGAATTATATGCACCTTTGGCAAAAATCTGCAAAAAACAATGAACAAATAACTGACAGTTTTATGAAGCTACTTAAGCAATTAAAACCTCTTTGAGGTCTTCATACAGTCATGCAAATCACATCTTCTCAGTCAGTCAGTTCCCTCAACTTATAGCTCAAGATTTCACTAACATAATAACATTGATTGCTAAAATAAATGCAATAAAATCAGCACTTGACATGTAGCACTAATTAAATCCAAAAGATAAATGAAGACATATCAGCAAGCCAGCATACAGACACTAGTAGAAAAGAGGGCTTTGGTCCAGGCCGGGTTAGCCCATTAGTCCCGGTTCACTCTAGAACCGGGACCCAAGGTCCACGTGGGCCATTTGTCCCGGTTTGTCTGAACCTTTTAGTCCCGGTTGGTACCACGAACCGGGACTAAAGGGTGTGATGCCCATTGGTACCGGTTCATGGCACCAACCGGGACTAAAGGTTAGACCTTTAGTCCCGGTTCGAGCCACCAACCCTTATTAATGGGGTTTGAGGCATTAGTACCGGTTCATGGCACGAACCGGTAC